CCCCCCCCCCCCCCCCAGGCCTCCGTTGCTATCCCACCCGCTACTCGGGAAACAGAAGGAAATCGCACTCAACACACTTGTGTGTTGGTGCCTTTCCTTCTGTTTCTCCTAGCTATTACTAGCTACCCGGGCGGTTTAAGACGAATGTCCCGCTCGCCTTCTACTTTCGTTTAACTAAGTGGGCCTCGTAACTACCCTATTTTTCTTTCTTGCCCTCTTAGTCTGCTCTTGTTTCGTTGCCTTTTCTGTCTTTCTAAGGCTTTTTAGGTGTCTACTAGTTCTTCGTTGCGCCAACAATTTGGCGCTTTTTGTACAAATGTTCCCCTGGGAGTTAGGACGCTACTGGAGGCCCCTGGCCTTACTACTACTTTGACCGCGCCGAAAACGGCTCTGTGTGTGTGTGTGTCCACCCCTGGGCAAAAGGTTTTCGTCCACTGGTTCAACGGTAGGGGGTGTCTTGAAAAAGCGCCGAAGCCGGCGACTTGTGCGTGTCCACCCCTGGACAAAGGGTTCCTTCGACCACCCCAATCAGGCAGGGGCGTGTGGCCTTCTTGTCCTACCACACGCAACGAAGCTGTGGACAAGAAGGGGAAGCAGGGACTGATCATCCCTGTGTACCTGCTGAACTTTTGACCACGCTGTCTAATTTGCTTTGTTTGATTCCATGGTTCTTCATGTTTCCACCCCCCAAACCTCTTCCTACCGCAGACGTGCAGCCGCTTTTGATCGTTTTTGCAGCCGCTTTTGAACGTGTGAGTGCCCTTGTCAACAATGTTCAACAATACTCTTCAGCGGACTTTGCCACCTTGCCGTTCTTTCGCCTTCCTTCCCATCGGAGAAATTGAGCTTAACGGAAAACCAGTGTCAAAGTGTGTGTGTTTGTTCAAGACATGTCATCTTATGTGACAATGTGGCGTGTGTGTGTGTGTGTTTATCCCCTTCGACTCTCAAACGTTGGAGAGTTATAGCTAGCCATGAGAGGACGCATGATCGAAAGAAGCACCTGCATTGCTGAACCATCACCCGTCTCGATCGATGTGACAAAAAACCGGGCCACTTCCGCAGCGCCATTTTCTCTCAGTTCTCTACGTATACCGTATACCATCGTATACCAATGGATGGGTGTGAACATGTGGGAACCTCTCATAGCCCAAAAGGCTCAGGCGTCGCACCGGCGTCTTCCAAGAGCTTCATCACGTCCCAGTGCGACCTGCGACATGCCTCCTGCCAGGGCGTGCGCATCACGCGGTCTGTGCGTGGCCGGTGGGGGGAGGCCCTGGCATCCAGCAACGCGCGCACCACTTCCACTAGGCCCTTGTCAACTGCGTGGTGTAATGGAGAAACGCCAGCAGTGGCCGGGTCACAAAACGCGCGAGCGTCCAACAAGAGGCGCACCACTTGGACTTGGCCAAACTGAACTGCCAAGTGCAACGGAGTGGAACCGAAACAAGAGCCGTCCGTCCGCTCCGCATCAGGCGTGGCCCCAGCCTCCAGCAACAAGTGCACCACATCCTGATGGCCATATTGAGCAGCGCAGTGCAAAGGAGTTTGGGAAATGCAGTCTGCCTGATTGCACGAGGCCCTAGCATCCAGTAGTAAACGCACCACCTCCAAATGACCCCCGGCAGCTGCCCCTTCCAAAGCGCTCGTTCCCTCTTGATCTGCCTGATCTGGTGCTATCCCTGCTTGCAGGAGAAGTCGCACCACGTGCAAATGGCCATTTGCAGCTGCCAAGTGTAAGGGAGTGGAGCCAAAGCGTCGGTACAAATCTACCATCTCCACCTCGGCCGAGGCTCCAGCTTCCAGCAGCAAGTGCACCACTTCCGCTTGACCCTTCTGAGCGGCCCGGTGCAAGCCGGTCCAGCCGTTGCCGTCCGCCGCGCTCGGATCCATCGGACGCTGCAAGCATTCTTCCACGTCGGCCAAGCGCCCCTCCTCGCAGAACAGGAGAAAGGCCTTCAGCTGTTCCTGGTCATGGGGCTCGAAGCCCACGAAGACCAGCTTCAGGTCCTCCCTCAGCCAATCCTCATCCTTCATCCCTTCCCCCTCTTCCTTCAGGAGGCGCATGCGGAAGCGAGAGCCAAGGCCTCGCGACATGAGCTCCACCTTCAGCCTTTGGACGGTGTTCTGCTGCTCTTCCTCAAGGCCCTGCAACTCCTCCGCGCTCACGACGGCCGCCACTTCGCCAGAGGCAGCCCAGAAGACATGCAGCGCCATGAGAGCTGCAGGTTGGTGTATCGCGGTTTCGGTCCTTGATAGGTGAAAACTCAGCAAAATCACCCATGAATCTACCGTAATTACTGTATGACTCAAGACCTGGACTAAGTCATGAGTGTCGTTCTTCCTGTGTGAGTTCTTGATGCTGCTTGGATGCGGCCCTGTGAATTTCAGGTTTGCCGGACCTGACAAGATTTGCCTTCTGCGTTTGATAGTTCTGATCAGTTTCATGAAAAAAAACATATGTTCCAACGATGCCGAATGATAGAACTGTTCTGTCCACAGCACGTCTGCGTGCCTTTCCTGCCTCCCTAATGCAAACATATGCAAACATCATTCAAGTGCGACAGCACGTCGCATTCACCCCGAGTCACTCCAACTTCTTAGATCATCAAAAACCAATACCCTACAAGTCCAGTCTGGCCCAGTAAAACCAGGTCGTTTGCTTGCTGTTGCTAGTGCCTGTATGACCAACTCCAGTATTTCATGAGGTCATTGACCTGTAGGGATAAACCAACCAAAAGAATCCAAAAGAGAACTATCTCTTCTAGGACCCACAAGGGGTGGTTAATGGACACCCCTTAACCTCTAAGGGGCTATCAATAGACGCCCCTTACGGTGTCCTGGTTTTAAGCTCCCTTCGTGGTTTCATGCCCCGGACAGTCCGAGGGCTCCTCCGAAACTCGGCGTTTGGGGTTGGGCCTTCATCTCGGCCGCAGCGCGTTCGGCCTCCTCCTTGGCGGCCTGGCACATCCACACATCGGCCAAGGATCAACATCGGCCAAGGTCCACCATGGGAAAGGGGTGGGGTTCAAACAGTCCAAGGGGTTTTACAGGGGTTTTACAAGTTTGCACTCAGGGTTCCAAACTTATTCACTTCATTTATCCCATGTGGAACATAGTTTAGGGGGGGGTGTTTTAATACAAGTTCACCCAGATCCATTCGCCATGGCCCGGCCTTCATTTCAGCTAATGCCTTTTCAGCAACTGCTTTCTCAGCCAAGGCCTTTTCAGCAGCAGCTTTCTGCAGCGCCGCTTTGTTCGCGGCCTTCTGCTTCTCTTCTGCCGCTTTCTTTTCGGCCGCAGCCTTTTCTGCCGCTTTCTTTTCGGCCGCGGCCTTTTCAGCAGCTGCCTTCTCAGCTTCTGCTTTCTCAGCAGCCGCCTTCTTTTCAGCTTCTGCTTTCTCAGCAGCTGCTTTCTTTTCGGCTTCCGCTTTTTGAGTGGCAGCCTTCTTCTCAGTTTCTGCTTTCTCAGCAGCTGCTTTCTTTTCGGCTTCCGCTTTTTGAGCGGCAGCCTTCTTCTCAGTTTCTGCTTTCTCAGCAGCTGCTTTCTTTTCGGCTTCCGCTTTTTGAGCGGCAGCTTTCTTCTCAGCTTCTGCTTTTTGCGCAGCCGCCTTCTTCTCAGCTTCTGCTTTCTCAGCGGCTGCTTTCTTCTCAGCTTCTGCTTTTTCAGCTGCAGCCTTCTTGTCGGCTACTACGCGATCAACGGCTGCTTTTTCAGCAGCAGCTCTATCAGCGGCAGACATTCCGGCTAGCTGTGCATTCTTCTCAGCAGCTGCTCGTTCACGGGCCGCTTTTTCAGCAGCTGCTCGGGCGACGATCTCCGCCTTCTCTGCTGCTGTTGGTTCCGTCGTCCTGACGATGATCTTTTCTTCTTGTGATCCCTCCTGGCATCCAAAAGCATCCGCCGCTACATCCCCGAGTGACACATGAAACTTGTTCAAACCCCCAAAAACGCCCATCGACGCTTGTTGAGCCCTGCGACGGTGGATCTTCATGTGAGAAAAAACAACAAAAACATACAAAAACAAGGATGGAAGCTGAAAGCCAAATACAAGTGACAAGTGCTGGGGTTTAACCCCAGTACCCAGTACCCAGATGGTTCTTAAGCAGCTGGCCACACAATGCCACCCCCTCCGCGCTTGAAAAAAGAAGCTCTGGCCGCCGGACTCCTTCTCATCTTTGCCACCCAGCTCTGGTGCTTCAGTCCTGCCGTTGCGGTCGGGCCCAAGGGGCCCTAGGCCCTAGGGGTCGACACTTCGGTAAACCAAGACGTGGATGACCTGCCTGGCTCTACCACCCCCTGGCTCGCGGGGAAAGGCGACTGCTGAAGTGAATCACCTCCCTCATTCAGCAAACCTTAGAGACCTCAAAGTGAGAGAAAATGCACCAGCAATGTCCAGATTTTTGGGGATCGGGCTTAGTCTTTCTTGCACTGGCTTGGCTGAGCTGCATCTCAAGCTTCTTCCCAGGGTCCCAGCACGACACGATCAGAATCCAATGGCACAAGGAGTCGGGTGAGCTCGCTCGCTCGGGATGCCGGGACGTTCCGAACGGAAGGAGTAGCCACACCACCCAGGCCCTCCGTGTGACTGGAGGGGTTTGATTGGGTGACCCCGGCAGGTGACCCCCGAACCGAGGTCGGGCTGGGTAGGCTGGATCGTTTGGTCCCCATAGAAGTCAGTTTGACCTCATGAAATACTGGAGATGGTCATACAAAACCAATACTTAAGGAGGTCAAGGACCAGGTTTGGACCTGGGTCAGACTGGACTTGTAGGGGGCGATTTCCCAAACCAAACCCGGTCGGAACCCCTACTTTCCCAGATCCCAGGCCAACCACCCCAGATCCCAGGCGTCACCGGTCAGTTGGAGTCGAACTGGAACGGACTGCCGGCGACATCGTGGGTTGCGACTGGAGGCTGGTTTAAGACCCATTTTTTCCCAGACACGACGAATGGGACTGCCATAGGACTGCCGCCCCAGAAAGACCCGCATGGCACCACCCCAACTGATCGGCAGTCCTATGGCAGTCCCATGGAGTGTGTGCATGGGTATGATTATGTTTGATGATTCCATGACGCATGGTCACGATTCATTCCTTAAGACCCATAATTAGGTTTCCTGAATGACGATCATATGATGTGGCCAACCACCTCATATATGGCCCGGTCGTGTCCGTATATTAAAATGGAGGTCATGTCTGGGTCGTAGGTAGGAAAAACTTGCATTGATTCAAAGTAGCTGACCCCCTCAGTTTCACTGGAACATTAACATATATAACATACAGCCTATATAACAGCATATATATAACATACAGCCTTCACTGGAACAGTACAGCAGCCTATATTTTATCAAACATACATAGCCTTCTTCCACCTGCTCAGCTTCAGTGAAAAAACAATCCAATCCAATCCGATCCGATCCCCCCCCCAAAAAAAAAGTTGAAGGTTATCCACTGTTCATCCACTTTCCCTGGCAAAAACGGCCACTGTTCATCCACATCCCCTTGTTCCACTCCCCTTCCCGTGGACGTCGATTCATCCCCGCAGCCGAGGCACGTGGAGACACCTCTGGCAGCTCCTCGCACTGAGATCGGAGAACAAGGGTGGGACCCGGAGCTGAGCTTTCCCACCCGTGTTTTTGTATCTTCCAGGAGTCACAAAGGCTAGGGATGCTAGGGCTAGGGGTGGTGGCTGCCTCGTCCTCATCCAGGGGCTGTCCATAGGACATGCGGGGCACCCCGCACCCCTATCCTTCGCTTCCTTCGTTCTCCCGAAGCTCTGTGGTTCATGTTCGGACTTCTAGGGCCCCGCCGGCCCAAAGAAACCTGGAAAGCACCCGCCACCCACCCCAGCACCGGCACCGGCCGAGGTGGCCACCGGTGGAGCGACCGAAAGCTGGACCCCTTCGAAATCCGAGGTCCGGTGGCTCCGGAGGGGGCTGAATCCAGGATTCTCATCGGATCCTCAATGGGCATGGTGGTTCTTGTTCAGCATTGTTTGACCCTCCGGAGTGGGAGAGAAATGTCAAAGAAAAAGATAGAACAAGTTGTGGTGGTTTACAAGGCTTTTCTATGGCTGTCACCAAATCCAAGAGCATGCCTACACACTGCTCCAGTATTCAGCTGCTCAACGAACAACAAAGCTCTCCCAAACCCTTCGACCACCCAAGCACCGCCCGAACCCTTCGACACGGGCACTGGGCGAGGCTCCGCGCCTCGGCCGGTGACCCGTGCGGCGGTCTTCCCCGCGGAGGCTTTCACCCGCGAGATCATCGACTCCACCGCCTCTCGAAGACGAGCGTCGAGGGTCAGTGCATCAGACGCGCTCGCTCGGTCGACGAAAGTGACAAACCGAGTACAAGGCAACCAGTCACCTCCCGGCCCAAGGAAACTGATGGACCCGTACCATTTGTTGATGATGTTCATGTGTTTTTTTGTCTGTTTGATTCTGCTTGGTGTGTTTTCGGCAAATCCCGTGAGGCTCAAGAGTCCGTGTCCGGGGATGTATCATGCACAATTTGATGGAGAGGGTGGACAGGCTACCCTCCCTACAACCAACGTGGTTTCGTGGACTGAAAACCCCCTCTTTGACCTCTGTAGGGGAGAACGGCCATAGTCTTTCAAGAGAAAAATGCAATCCCACACTGCAATCCACGTAGCCCTGATGATTGCGGGGAGTATGGATCCCCAAAAAACGCAGCAAGAAAACACGTGGATGATGATGATGATGATGATGATGATGATGATGATGATGATGATGATGATGATGATGATGATGATGATGATGATGATGATGAATATATGAGTAGGTTATGTTAGGTTGCAGCCTGACATCTCCAAAATAGTGATCGTCTGACTGACCATTCATGCAGACTCTTGATACTACTCTTGAGTCATCACCCATTTTATGAAGAGGTTTCTCAAATGGAGCCGTCCTGGCGCAAAGCCACTTGGCTTATGGTGAGTTGGGGCGCGTGGGGTTGCTGCCACTGCCATGGTGGGGTGACTCGTCTACTGAGCCGCATGGCAAACCGTGTGGCACCCTGTTCATGAGGACAACGTTTCGATCGACTGTTTTGTGCCTTTCTTCATGGTCCGTTGCTAGGTTGATGCTTGTGCGCGTGGCATTCTGCCAAGTTGATTTCTGGCTGAGCTCCGCTGCACTTCATACGGGACAGCTCTTGGCTTCTGAGTTGGAACTCATACCGGAGCCCTCTACGTTTCATGAACCCCTCTCACTGGCTTTAACTTTGATGGAGCCGGTGATGCCTAAAGCTTCCAAGCTCTGCCTGAGGACAGTTTGCTAGACAACGGTCCTGCTGCAAACGGGAATAGATCCTTGCGGAGAACAGCGTTGAGTCCCTTTGCACGGGGCTCCCCACACTTGAGCCACCGACTGGCTGATTCAAAGGGCAATTTTTCTTCGGCCAGTCTTTGCTAGCATGTTTTTGGTGAACTTCCAGTTTTCCTTTGTTGTTTTCCACTGAGCATCTACGCATTGCTGGCTGCATACTGTGTTTCAAGCAAATCCTGCCTGTAATTCTTGGGCGAAATCGCCCCGCATGATGCGAGGTTGTTGCGTGGACTTGAGCAATAGAAGGCGGCTCACACCACGGGTGGGAGCTCCCCTCGACTGGTCGCTCTTCCTGTGCCATCCTCATAGGGTTCAGGATGCCGTTGAGTGGAATGCTAGCGGCACTGTCTCACGCCTGATTTGTGAGCGCGAGAGGTAGAAGAGATTTCTCAAGTGAGGAGGGGTTCTTACTGATCTGCAAAGAAGCGATCGTCCGGTCGCAGACCTCGTCCGCTGGGGTTCGGTCTTCTTCGGGTGGGACCCTCCGCCATGACCCAATTCAGCGAAAGATTGGTCCTCGAAGCTAGGTCTGACCTCTTGGATGTTCGAAACGACGGGGCCATGACCCCTGAAACGACTCCCACGTCTTCGAAGCCTCCGCAGTCCCTCACGTGCCGGAGAAGAAGCCCGTCGTGCACCAACACGACCCGATCCAAACCGCCTGACGGTCTGCGGCCATGCGCTCCAAGAGCAAGGTATAGGTCGCCTAGCGCCCCGCCCACAGCGACACCGCCGAGGGTCGTGGGCCTGGGGTGTCTGGGGCTGCTAGCTAGAAGCGGTCACAGGTACCCATGGACACACCGAGCCCGTGCGCATATCATCCAATGGGGTCAACATCATTCAACTAGGGAAGCTGCCCCAAGAAAGATGTGATTGTCAAGGAGAAACGCGATCTGAATAACAAGAACTTCTTTGGGGGCTGGAGAGATGCAAATTCTTCGTGTCAAAAGTTCTTGCACAGGATCCTGTGATGAGGAAAGCCCTGCCCCTGCGACCCTTCCCAAAAAAAAGAAGGAGCACAACGAAGAACCACCTCCCCATGGGACAGAACGCAAAAGCACCGCAGAAAGCCCTCCTCGCCTTGGCATAGTTGGAGTCCCTCTTCGCCTGACACGTGGATAAGCAGATACCGCCGGCGGATACGCTTCTTTTTTTCGGTGTCATCTGGGGCGACGGGTGCACCACTAGTGGTTTGCCCAGGTCGTTTTGGTGGATACAGGGTCGAACAATGTTACATAATATATGCACATATTAATAGATTCCAATTTCTGGAGACCTGTTGTCACAAATGGGCTCTTGGAAGCCGATGTGTAATGTGCATCTTGTAAAGTGTGTATGTATATAATATATATATATATATTATGTATTATATATACCAGCACCTCCAACAGGTCACCACCTGCGACTTTTAAGTCAGCAAAAGCCTCCAGAGGAGACCTGTTGGAGGGTGCTGGTATATAATATATATCTTGTGACACTTCTTGTGACAACCTGTTCATATCTCTTTTCCACGAATTCATGTGATCTTCAAAACCACGCACCGATGCCCCCAAACTCCTCTGCTCCACGGCTCCCTCTGCCTTCGGCTGTGGAACCGATGCAACGTCCGCTGGGGTGGGTGCCTTCGCCTGCGTCTGCCGAGTCTTCCGGCCTGTGGGGAGGTTTGCTGCATGACCCTATAGGGCTCCAGTCGCACTGTATCGTTTCGTTTCGGTGGGACTGGGCCCAGGAGGGTCCAGTCATGCCGAACCTGAGGAGGTCTTTTTAGATGTGTTGTACTTTCCATGTCCTTTCCCCAAAGCACGCCTGGCATGGGGGGCACGCAAACCGATTTCCTTTGGCTATAGACACAACTCACCTCAAGAACTTGGAATTTGGGTGACTTTTACTTTTGGGATCTTTTGGGTATGGGAGAAGTAGCCTCTCGGACTAAAGCCACATAGGCTCTGGGACTTCTCCGTGCGATGGGTTCTTTCTGGCACTTATATAGCTGGTCGTGTACTCCAACATGTTTGGCTTTGACTTCAAATATACAACCAGAAATCAACTGTAAAAAACATGTTAAAAACCGACATCAACTATAACTACAACCTAAATCGTCGCTTTTGGCTCAGGATTAGATCATAACTCATAACTTTAAACAAACATCAACGCCCCATCCACACTGCCAGTGGTGTTCTTTGCTCGCCGGCCTCTACCACCGGGCTCTCCACCGCGGTCTTTGGCACCTTCACCGGCGAAGTCGAGATCGCGCCGGCGTCCTTCGCCTCCGCGGGGCCGGTGGATGGTGAATTCGAAGCTTTGGCGAAGCAAGATCCATATCACCTTCGAAAGCTTTGGCTTTGGTATCGTCCAACATGAAGCCAAAAAAAAATATATATATATATATCATTATATATCCAACATGGTATCCAACACGATATGTTCAAATGAAGTGATTCAAGTGATGATCGATGGATACAACCATGATAGATCTACCTGGGTCATCCGATGGGTCGACTGCACTGCGTCACTGGACCGAAACATTGCATCCCAACGACAAGTCTGAATGGAGGTGACATCGAGGTCACCAGCCACCAGTGCAGGGCCTTTGAACTTCTTGGCTTGGTTGAATGGAGGTACTGTGAGCTGATGGCTGGAGACAAAGTTTGCGCGGGCACAGGCCAGGTCGGCCAGGCCCACATAGAGGTGTAGTGTATGTACCCCACCATGTGCCAAGTCGAGATGCATACAAGTTCATGCAAGCTGCTTTCATCACCATGAGCAATCCAAAAAAACATCCCAAAACCAGACATTATTCCTCTTCTCCCCTACCATCCATGTCATGAAACTAATTGCAAATCTATTCTAAAAAACCAACTACTGCCCGACTGGTCGACCCTCCGGACTCGCCACACGGACCACACGGACTCCGGACTCTCCACGGAATGGGCGGCATAGGGCGGCCTTCTTCGCGGAGGCCACCAAGAGTTCTCGAACTTGTCGTTCCTCCTCGGCCTTCACCTCCTCTTCACCTCAGACCAAGGTGGGTCCCACCTAAACATCCAAGGTGGGGCTGGGGCGTGTCGGGTGCGGAGCCCACTGTGTCTGCTCTGGCCGTGTCCGTTGGACCATCACCGAAGCCCGACGGGTCCATTGACATTGGTGCCAGGTCCATACGACTTAACCCACGCCTTCACCCAAGAAGCTGCCGCAACAAGCTGCCGGGCTCCTTCTGATATAAGTACTAGTACAGCAGTACAGCTCTCCCCATGGGGTATCCTGATAGGAAAGCATAGTTGCAAGATGTTGCAAGGAGAAATTGGCTGCATACCAATTTAACCCAGGAGTGGTGATTCCGCAGGCTGCTGGAGATTCTGGAGGAGGCTTCCAACTTTAACATCGTGGGGGAGAGAAGCTCCATGAATTGGTTTCAGAATGTTTCAGGGAAAAATCTGCCGGAAACCCTCATGTTCACCATTTGCTCACCCCCAAAATCCATGGCTTGCTCCAATTCTGTGGGGAAAGGATTACCTCACTGGGCTCTGTTCGTAACTTCTCGTGGCGTCCGAGCACGCATGCGCCGGCGCATGCGACGTCCGAGCACGTCAACGAGTACCGGGCTCGCCTGGTGACGGCGTCCGTCGTCCGTCACCGGGGATGTTCGGAGGGCTCGTCTGGATGGGTCATGCCGAGTCATTTGCAAGATGGAAGCAAGCAACTCGAACATCAAAAGCTGCAGAGCGCCCAAGTCATGGTCTGAATCCATCCGACTCAACCCATATACTCAACCTATAGGTGCTCTTAGTCCCTAAGTCTTGAGCCCATCACCCGCCTTCAACCTCTGCGAAAAACGTCCGCCCTTGAGCCCACGTCACTGCCCAGCATGCCGATGAAGTACCGGGGCCTGGGCGACCCAGGCGGTCAGGGGGACGACCATGCCAAGGTACCATGCCATGGTGCCAAAGGTTTGTTCCCCCTGCAGGTGCCCAGGTGCCTACGTTTTTACCCAAGCCTGCGAAAGGAGCGAAGCAGCCACCGGAGTCTAGGGGGAGTCATTGGGAGTGGTTTTCATTCACCAACAGCCAACATTACAACGGACAAGGGTAGGAAGCAAAAAGGCAAACCATGCAATAAGACTCAATAGACTGGGGAAGACACAAAAAAAAGACACCAAACAAAAACGTGTATGCTCTAGACTCTAGGTGGGATGCTGACTGCAATGCTAACCCGCAAAAAAGAATAGAGTCTCTCTCCAAAAGGTGCCGCACTGCTCGATGCTAAAACACCCCCCAAACCCCCCCCCCAAACCGTCGCAGATGGCTCGATCGGGTCGCGTCTCAAACACTCCATTGGCATATGGCACATGAATCCATACATCGGGGTGGATTGAGGGGTCAATGGGGCGGCATATATGACAGTCCCATGGAGCGTCTGGGAGTGAGGATTCTGGAAAAGAACGCAAGCAAGCAGTGTAACCCAAGCAAGCCAAGTGCCAACATAAACTCTATAGCCTACACTATGAAATAGAGACCAGCTACTAGAACGGTTCCAATGTACAAGATCTGCATCATCGGAATCAGCTATATACTAGAACTAACGTACGACGGTACTGCAATGAAATTCAATCATGTACATACTGCTTCAGGCATCCACCTTTATTTTTTATGGTCTAATTAGTCCATGTCCATTGATGTCCCTCCCAAAACCCACGCGCTCCAGGTCTCTGGGATTCCCCCACATGATGCTCATGGGCTTCCTGAGGCGGACGGAACAGGCGAACCCGGCGGCGGCCAGGAGACCCGGAGCGGAGCGTTCTCCATCGACGGATGGTCTAAAAAGGGAAAAACATTACATTCCCCACCGAAAGAAAGAAAGGGGGAAGCGCTAAAAAGGTTGGGGTTTGTAGCAGCTGGACCAGCTGCACACGTGGGGCGTAGCAAGAGAGTCAAGCAACTAACAAGATCACGGGAAATGATGGAGATTTTGTGATGTTGCTGGCACCGTGCGAGTGATAGAACACCTTCAAATCCTTCTCCTTACCGTGCCGTGGCCGGGCAGCTTCGTTTCTCACGGCTGCGACAGCCAAGCTACAGAGCCACCATGGTTGGCGCCGCCATGTCTGCCGCACTGGGTCATCTGTCTTGAACCACTCATCGGATGTCATCGGCCTACCTTTTGAGGAAACGAGGCTTAAACGAGGCTTCCGACCCTCATGGTGCGACATGGACGCTGTCCGACCTGGAGCTACCCACCCACCCGGAACGGTCCGGCACGTCCGGACCGCCCCCGGCAAGATCCAGAGTACCGTCCGACCAAGTGGCTTTAGAAGGCTATGCGCATCATGACCTTGGCTGTGCAGCACGGCCTTTTGTAAGGCCGTTTCAAAACGTTGTTGTGGGATATTGCGATGAACTCGAGGTTTGAGGCTCAAGAAGCAAAAAGCAAGTGTGTTGACAGCTGACTCCACCTCAAATTGGCCGCGATGTGTCATCCACATTGGATTTCTTCTTCTCGTTGCACCCCCTATATCAATCCACATGAATGATATTGATGTAGACTCAGACTCGTGACTAACAATTATATAATTGTTATAATAGAAATTATATACATTTATATACCACATAAACCACCCAAGAAATGGATTGTAAACCTCTTCAGGCCTAAAAAAAGGGGCTTGAAGCATCTTCTCAAGAGTCTACCTTCTGACCCATGTGGCTGTGCATGTCGCCCATCGGGTCTCCCCCCCGTGGCCTCTCGCCCCGAAACCTCCGGCTGGATCGGTCGATAACTCGCTTCCACCGGGCCACGACGATGACGACGACGAGGATGAGGTGATGAGGATGATTGTGACGATGTTTGGCGCTCAGATCTCCACCCAAAGAAGCACAAGAAAATAAAATGAATGCCATCGAGAAGCTGGCTTCGGTGGCATCTTTGCCGCCGTATTTCAAGAGGAGGGATGACCCGCCAGGATGAAAAGCATGCCAGTTGGTGATGTCATAGACCTCCAGGCAGCAGGTCCGGTCGAGTCTAAAACGCCACACAGTTGGTCAAAGCCAGTGCCAGGTCATATCAATCAGCCTACCGAGGTGCCGTCGGCGCGAGGAACGATGGTAGTGCTCTCCCACTAGCCACAAAGAAAGAGAACAGGTGTCCCCAAGGGAGATGCGCTTGACGTTTTTGAGGTGTTTGAAGGGTTTTGGAGCTACGAGTTGCAGTGCTCTCCCACGCTCCCAAAACCAGGTGAATGCAGTCTGAGGACGAGAACAGCCATGCTGCACGTTGTTTTATTCAACATTTCTCTGCCACAAAGCATATATAAATCTTCACAGCGTCCAAGAAGCCAAGAAGTGTGATCGGTCACTGTCATAGTTTGCCCTTAAAGGAGTGGGTGCATTGATGATATTGATGAGTGGGATGGGACTCTGCCATGGAATGAAACATCAATATCAACACCAGTGACGTTTCGACAGGAATCCAACCACGTCAACAACTCGGTTTGGAAAGTAGACACTGTCGACATGGGGTCGTATTCCTCAAACTTCTCGTCGACACAAAACCCACCGCGTCTCACATCGGACCCCTGGGCGTCGCACCTTCTTGTCCACAATCACCTGGGCGCGACGTCGCACAAAAACACGCGGAGCAAAGTGCAGATTGGTAAAACAGGTTGTCCTTCGCATGACCTTGGGCTTCTTTTGGGATCTTCCAACATGTGTACTCTTCCACCAGCAACTGCACGTCATCATGCTCAACTTGGGATGCCATCTGGCATCAACGGATCCATCCCATAGACCGAACGAATCGGTTCCCAACACCCATGTGACTCCGACCCCTACAACGAGATCAAAACGAGTCTCAGACCCCCCCCAGACCTGGGCCCGGTCGACTGGATCCATCTGGTCCTGACGGCTTCCCGTCCATCGTCGGGCGTTTGGGGTCGCCTGTGGTCGCTGTTCGTTCGGTGTGAGGACCCCATCGCGGACCCCCCGTGTTTCAGCGCGTGTGCCGCATCGGAAAGGGATGTTTTTTTTTGGGGGTGACGAGGTTCTCGGAAAAGCCTGCGGTTTCTCATACACCCAACTTGGAGGGGCACGGGGATTCATTCTCGTTTGTTCCTGCATGCGATACTGCTAGATATATGCATAGCTTGCATATGACACATGTCAATGATCACGAGTCAAGAAAAGGACCAAACGCAAATCCCTCAAAAATGGTGATGATCGTTAGGGCTCCAAGGTATTTGGACACTCCAGACTCCAAACCCACCTCAAACACCTTTGAAACGAAGGTACGAGTACCACTGGAGCCCTAGGGCTATACAACCTGTTCTAACCCATCCGGACGGCCGCAATGAGTGGCGAGTGGGATGCCATGGGGTTGGGGCACCTCGTCCCTCACGCGCCCGACCGCCGAGCTCATCACACACGCCAAGAGGCCCAAAGGTCGTTCGGCTGGTTATGCCGCGCCACTTCCGCAGCGGTGAACAGCATGTCATGAACCGGTGCGGACCACCACTGTCTTCCACCCGGAAGTCCGTCCACCCGCGGAAAAGGGGGGGGAAACGACGTGCTATGATGGCATGTTGGCGGTGATTTCACTGGAAAGGCAGTTCAGAAACAACAGCACAATGGGATGATGTTGGATGGAGCTGCACACTTCCCCCCGAAACCAGTGAAGCAGGGATCGCACGTGAAAATCGGTGGGATTGACGTCTGTGGAGTTGCTCTTTCTGCGTTCCTTCGTCTTCGGCTTGTTGGAGTCGGAGATGCGGCTTGTATGGATGTCTATGCTTGATTCCTCTTGTTTCAAAGCTGCAGGAGGCGTCGGCCCATACGACACCCTGCAAAAGCAAGAAGAACTTGGTCAGGGCGTCTGAGTGTGTCGACTGCCCGTCAAGAAGATGAAGTGGCATCTGGGAGTCCAAGACTATACAAAGAATGGTCTGACTGCTAGGGTACCTGAAAGGGAATTTCCTTTACTTCACTATGGAAAAGTACAGTATTGTCTTTGGACTTCTAATAAAATTCTATCCGGAATCCACTGGGCCTAATCTTAGTTGCTCTGTGACGTATACCAAGGTTCCATGAAAGGTAACCTAACCTCACCATACCTCAACAAAAACGAAACTGAGCAGAGGCGTTGCTGCCCCTGTGCAGGTTTAAATTCATTTGTCCTGTGGAACTATTCTTGGACCTTTTTTCTGAGGGCAGCAGCTCCTCCAACGTCAATTCCTCTTCGGATTCGGTAGGTGCACGATAGCACTTCATAGACGTGTAGACTAAGCGATCTATCTATTGAATAAAAGAGCGAGTGGGAGCCTCGTGATTAACAAAAAATCCACAAAACGCACCAATCAGTCTTCCTCGTACGCTCAGACACGGATCTCTGATCAGGAGCTGTATCTTGGATCTCTTGAGGCCCCAGGTCATCGGTTGAGCGCGAATGCACAAACTAGCACCTCAAGCAGTACCACTGACAAACCTAGATGCCCCAGTAGCAAAGTAGTAGCAAACATATTAAACATCAAACTTCTCTCGGATGGATTTGGAATTGGTATTGAAGAGGTCCAGTCCAGTTTTTTAAACAAGACTCCCTTGGTGAAAGTCATGGTCGCTTGTGGATCTGCCCAGTAAAACTCAATGCCGGCCCAAACTCGAACTTCAGCTTGGCAGGGAAGCTCTCAACTCCCCTTTGGCCACAAAAAGGCGTAGACACCATCCAACACTATCCAACCCGCTTCCCCCCACGATGTGCAGTGACTTCCGCAACCGACACAACCGTGCATTTGAAGAGTCGCTTTTTTTCGGCGAAGCGCCTGTCGGGTGCGACTGGTCGGCATCTGCAATCAAGTACTGATACCTGGGCTCGAAGTTGGGAATTCACCCAGCTGACCACCCCAAGCATGCTCTGCTAAGCATCCAACACAAACATGTACCGTGTCTATAAATAGCCTCTTAGAGGTGATTCGGGGTGTCCAAAAGCCACCTGCTGGAAGGTCCTAGTAAATCATTGAAAACAAGTGGTTGCTTCTGTTGAGCACACCGACCTACACATAATTCAATAAAAAAGCCGAACAATGATTGGTCACGATCTTGGACATCAACCATCACTGGTGGTCCTGTGAATGAGAAAGAATCCAAAGCGATGAGGCACCCTACAGTCTACGATCTTCTACTCCCAAACTCATCATATCGAAACGAACCGTTTTAGGGCCCGAGAAGCCGAGAAGCCAACGGGGTCCTCAAACTTCCTATCAGAACCAAAGAGTAGCAGTCGGTCCTAAATATACACACACGTATAATATATAATATATATCAACCCCAAATCTCCTCGGGAAGCTGGGAATCTCCGCCAGGTGAGGCCCCCCAAGGTAAGCGTCCGTTGAACCTCGGCGCCTCTTCTTGAAGGGCTCGCAGGGGTCCTGTGCGTCCAGGTTGGGCTCGTAGAAGAAGGGCATGGAGTAGCGCTCTTTGGTCCTGGAATGTCTACAGAAGGTGGTGGATGCACTGGGGAGACTCATGGAATGCCGAGTCTACGCCTCGTGGTGTCAAATGATAGTGGCCAAATGCGGAATCGTTGTCTTGCCCCCCAAGCGGAGCCAGTCTCCCCGTCTCCTCTGGATCCAAAAAGAAACCCAAAGCCGAGGTGGATAACATGACAGCACAACAACAAAATCTACAAACCGGCTTTATGCCATGCCATGCCACTTGATCTACGCATCCTATTGAGAAAAACGGTGCCACTTAACTTAACCCCCCCTCCAGCGCCACCCCACACACTCCTCGCGCGCGGCACCACGCGGTGGAGTGTAGCCTTGCACTTCCTCACACGTCCCGGAGCTGCCAAAGAGCTCTGCTGGGCCCAGCGGTAGAGATCCGTGCCCAGGTTGACAATCCAGTAGCCCGGCAGGAAGGGAACCTGAAAGCAGGTGAGTGCGCCGCCCATAGCCGCCCCCTTCGAGGGGTTTGGGTCGGACAGGCGGGTGGTGTGTATGCGAAGATCTTGGGTTGTGCCATGAGGAAATCTACACCCTGGAAGACTAACATGGAAGTGGAGAATGGCCCCTTGGAAGACTATTTTCCACTACAAACAGGTGGTTTTCCACTTCCATGTTAGTTGTCGGGAGTGTAAACATGTGCAAAGAAACCCATCGATCCATTGTGGACTGACTTCCAAGCAGGGCTGATCTTTTGGGACTTGTCAGGCTCAGGGTGTGTTGCCTGCTTGTTCCAGCTGGATTCTTTACTTTTGCGTTTCTGTTCTTGTTGCCTGCTTGCGGGAGGGGGCATGCGTGCGGCTTTGCAAACCGTTGGATGAAGAAGAAGAAGAAGAAGAAGAAGGAGGTAACTCCCAGACTTGTCCTTACCCTTGTCCTTCTTGGTGCCACATAATGTCACGTCATATGGCACTGGTCAACGGACCACCAATCGGATGTACCGCTTGGCAGATCTCACACTTGGTCTTGGCAATCATCGAAGCTGAAGAGACATTCGTCCCAGCTTTGGAGGTGAAGAAACACTCCTAAGATCTTGAGTCTCCATCAGTAGGTTTGTCTCCAGGTGCCTCACAGAGGCTCACAGCGACTCCAAGTCCATCAGTGCAAAAGTAGACAAATCAAATGCCAGTGATGCAAAAAATCTGCTTAGCTGTTTCTGCATCATACACGAGCCGGATTTTTGGCAAATCAACATAGCATTTCCATGCATTTCCTGCGAACTGGCATGTGCCGCCTCCAAATCTCCAGGTGCTTCAATTGCGCCCTCCGCCCACCCTCCCGTGTCGCGCCCCCACGCGGCCCCCGCCCCATCGCCGAGCTGCGGGTTCCCACAAAATCTCCTCCGAGAACTGCGCGTCCGTGCGGCAGAACTCCCCCGAGAACAGCGGTTCCGTCGTTGTACGGGACCTTGCGGAGTCGGTGCGGCCCTTGGCGTACTCGAGGCCCGGCTGGCCGTCTGTGTACAACAAGGTGCACAGGCCATCGTCCTGGACTTGGACTTGAAGGGCTGCTGGTCAGTAAAACCGGTCTATAGTCTTTGACCTGCTTAAGTACTGGTGTTGTATGACCTGACCATCTCCAACGACTGACTTTGCATCTCTATACAGGTCAGCCATCTCTTTCGGCCATCTCTTTCGGCACTCCTGATGTGGGCGGATCCCAAAGACCTGCGTTTCTTCCAGCGCGCCATCGCCGGGCGCGGCGTAGCCGCTCTCGGGTCTGAAGTCTTCGTAGTTGTAGTGGGTGAAGCCAAGCCTGACGGCGCTCGGTCTTCACTGATTTTCGACGCCCTGGCGCAAGAGAATGAAGCAATGACCAGATATATAGTACATAGTGTGTTCATGAAGAGGGCCCACCAACTACAGGATATGGACACATCAACCGCCAACGTTAAAAGCCTTCATGACTTCTCTCATGAGGCATTCCCATCCACATCCATCCACCTTCCATCCACCAAATCCTACCCACCCAACCAAGCTTGCAATGGAAATCCTATGAAATCCTACTCCCAAAAACAGGCAGGACTCCATCGGCTGCTTTCCAAACGCCAGAGGGGCGTTTGGAAGAAAACACACTTAACGACATCCTGTAATGGCCTCAAGCTACCCCATTCTGCAAAGGAAATGTCAACGGGGATCTAAAAACAACATCCCTTTCCCTCCCGGTCCTGTCGCTCCTCTCTCTCACCTCCGAGATGCAAGCTCGTCGAACGCTCAAAGGCCTCCTCCGCCGCACCGGCGCTGAGATATGGCCCCAGGCACTCGGGCCGGGCCAGTGCCCGGCGCAGCGCGGTCGCCGTGGCGAAGCAAAGCTCGAAGTAGGCCTCGCTGCTCCTGGAGGGCCCCTGATGGGTCTAAGTGGGGAAACCTGCCAAGGAGAGGCGGGAGAAGAAAAACAGGCGCAGCGTGCAGCGGAGGCGAAAACGGGTAAACTAAATATACCAAATCTGCGTAACTATGCTGTATGCCACTCAATCCCCTGTTCCTCTTTTTCTGCCATCCCACCTCCTAAAGTCTTCACACCATCCACCCATCTCGGGCCAGAGGTTCTCACCCATACCGCACCGAATGGCACCCTCCGGACTGGCCGAACTTCCACCGGCGCGGCCCAGGTTGAAGGACTCGCGGCGGTCGCCGGCGAAGTTGCAGTCGCCGCTGACGCCGCGGTAGCCGGGGCCGGTGGAGGGGATGCACACCGGCGCGGCACCGGGCTCCTGGGAGGAGATGTCATGTGATGATGGAAGTTAGGAGGATGATCCCTTAAGAAGGGGGGAGGCCATCGCTACCTTAGGGTGGACCATCGCTAGTAGGTTCCATATGGTTCCATTGCTTGGGGCCGGTGGGAGGCCATCGCTTGTAGGTTGGAGGCCATCGCTACCAGGGTGGAGGGTGTTGCCAGTATACTTGCAGACATCACTTCTTGCTTTGACGCTCACTCCCTGGGTCGCTCGCTCCCTCGCTCACTCACTCACTGACTCACTCACTCACTCACTCGCTCGCTCGCTCACTCACTGACTGACTCACTCACTCCCTCCCTATTCCTTCTGGATCGCTCCCCTCTCCTCCACCCAATAGCACGACTCTTCATCGTTCTTCAAGAGCACCTGGCCGCGCGCTCACGCGTGGCGTCCCGAACCGGAGCCGCGCTCCGGTGCGGGACCGATCCGACCACCCCATGGGCACGGATCAGCGCTCGGCTCGTCCGTCTGAACGACGATGGGCGCCTTGTCGCAGCTGGGCAATTGGAAGAAGCGCCGCGAGAGCTCCAGCGTCCGCTCGGCCAAGTCCAAGGCGTCCACGGAAGGGAACTTCAGGTAGAAGAAACCTACGCCCAACAAAAGCAACGACGACGAGGCAGTTCCAGGCCCAAACGCCTCCCAACTCCAACCTTTTCAAAGACTCTTAGATGTTCAGAACAAGTGGTGCGTTTTGGGAGGGCCGCCCTGGCCATCGTGTCGGGCGCTCCCAGCTCGATGAGACGAGCGCATACGAGCCGCCCCTTCGCACCTGGCCCGTCGTCCGCGATGGCGGCCAAGAGCTTTGGCGCCAGCTGCGGGTCGTGGAGCTCCAGCGCGGGCAGCGTCGCCATGGCGGAGGAGCGACGTGGACAGAAGATGCGACGGGTTCGAATGGGCGTGTGGGGAACAGCAGAGTCCTATGAACGGCGTGTGGGGGTGTACCGATCTCCATTCCTATGAACGGCGTGTAACGGGTGATCTCCATGAGATCGGTCTCAATCACCGAGGTCTCGAAGTCCATGCTAATCAGCAGTCCAATCATCGAAGTCTCATGAAGTCTCTGATGCCAAAAGGTGTTCATCATGGGGCGCGATTCTATGCACACGAGCCACATTAAAGACGTGCTTCGATGGATGTCACTGACTATATCGCAGTTGGGTACCCCAGGTGACGGGGTCCTTTATCAGATCACCTCTCTCTTGGAAGGTCATTCGCCACAAAGATCCCAGAAACCACATGGCCGGCCTCTACGGGCTGGTGTGAGCTATCTCCTTACGACGCCGCCGAGGCAATCTCACGCGACTAAGCGGTGGCTTTTCCAGGTTGGTGAGCATGTTTCGCGGGGTGAGCTCATTGACCTTTGCTACGATCCTGGCATACAATTCTTACCCTGTTTCCAGTTTTGTCGTGCATATACTCAGGGTCCTTCGGAGGACTGCGTTCCGGCACCTCTACGTCATCTTTGTATTTGTGTCTGTGTGGATGTGCTTCTCTGCATCGCTTGCCCCTTTTTATGGAACAACGAGTTCTTGGACCTCTTTGTGGTTAACCGTTACTGGTACACGACCGACAGTGACAGTACTTCCATGACGACCTCTCCTTGGCCGTCGAGGCGACCTTAACTGTGGTTGTGCTAGGTGCTCTTCAGAGCAGTAACGACTGGGTAAGCCTTGGAGTGGGGGCTTGCTTGGATGCTAGCAAGGAGCGCAATCACTTCACCACGTGGTCTTGATACTCGTCATTGCCGTAGTCTTCATGGTGGCCGCTATGCTGATGTGTTGGTGCGCTATGTCTTGTATGGTTTCTTGTGCTGCTCTTTACATGGCTAACGAGGTGCGCTTCCTCTGGCTGCTGCTTACTGGATTTGATGGATTGGAGTGTACATTGATCTCCTTTAAAAGTCCCTTTTGTCTTTGTTCTTTGAATGCTGCAGCAGGGCAACCTACGGGCACCTGCCGGTGCTCGGGGAACGTGGCTCCCCATCCTCGGATGTGGAGCTCAGCCTACGCTGTGGTCTTGTTGCATTTGAACGCCCTACGAGGTGCCCGACCATGGGCCTGCTGATCTTCCTCGTCCATCGCCTTTGTCTGCCGACCCGTCGGGCTTTGGACCCGACCCATCGGCCACAAAAAGACAGAGCAGGGACTGGTCTTTTCCTCCTGATTCTTCGCGTCTCCGCTCCGTTTTAACTATTTAAAAAGAAGGGCAAAAGTAATAAAAAAACGACTTGCCCACGGCCCACGGAGCCAGCCACATCCTGGAAAATCCTGGGAACCCCCATGGCTTTGCCAGCGGCCCCACTGCGGCCCCACATGCATTGACCGGTTGATGCGGCTGGTGGGGCGAAAGTCTGTGGCCATTTCACACCACATAAAATCGCACCCCCCCCCCAGAGCCCCTACAGGTGCACTGGTCGGGGGTTGGAGGGCGTGCTTCGAAGCCATAAGTGGAGAGCAGCGGCTTCTCAGTCTTCCAAGACCCTGGGTTTGTATCTCAGAAATGTTGTTTTGTTCCACAGGTGGATTGGACCAAAGGCCTTGGCGAGTGCAACTGAGAAGCTTGCATTGTCCAGCTCATGGCGATGGATGAATGTTTTGGCTCCATCTTTGCAAACTTTGGCGCGAAACGCTTCGGAAAAACCGTCCAATCTTTCTTCGAGTAGTTCGTAGAACTCCAGAGCATTTTTCGACCCCTGCCTTTTTCTGTGTAAGTCTGCCGCAAAAACCTTCACAAAATCGGAGGTCAAAGCTGAGCCCTGCCACACAAAGGGGGGTGCCACAAATGTCATCATGGATAACTTTTTCTGGTGATCTCCCCAGTTTTTGCCTAAAAATGTCTCGGAGTTCCCCCATGTCTTCCCAACGTCGGGCCGGTTCCAAGAATTCTCTGGCCCCTTGGTAGCTCAAAAGGACACGATCGGCTTTGGTTTCGAAGTCATCCGTATTGTTCCACGCGCTGTTGATGGCATACTCCCCTTCTAGCTTCTGAAAGCAGCCTGCCGCGAGTGTCAGTGACAAACCTCAATGAGAACCCCATTCAGTGGGCCCTATTACATGCCCATGACTTGTTACTACGTGGAATGTGTTGAAACTAGCCAAACTCTGATCGCAGCGTTAATTACCAAGAACCAACAATTCGCAGGTCGGCCTTCAAAATCTTCTCCCAATCCTTCGCGTCTCATCTTGTCGGCATATTCCTCGACCTTCGCATAGCTGGGTGAGGAATCCAAAAACCATACAAAAAGGATCAAAAAGGCAACCCAAGACGCCGCTGGTCATCCAATCAATCACGGATCGACCGAGCGCTCGACGCAGTTCGGGACCGCAGTTCGGACCACGCGGACGAGCGCGGGCACGCGCACCATCTCCTAAAGGTCGAGTTTCCTGTTGCCGGGCCACCTCGTCGCCTTAAGTAGTTGTCTAGGTGAATTGTGATTTTATGTGATGGGTGGTCTTCACCTGTAGCTCCCGGATCTATGCAGGTGTGTTGAGCAGGTGCATCACCTGCATCTCTGCACCTGTATGATGATGATGATGATGATGATGATAAGGGCCATGAGCGGCTCAATCCCCATCGCCCTCGGTGCCGCGGGGACAGTGCGGAACCGTGACTTGCTCCATGGGCAACCCAAAGGTGATCACCTTGTTGCTTGACCTCCTCGGCAACCGGGACTTTGCCCAACATCCTCAGGAACACCGAGATTCTGATCCCTACTTCAAGGTGGTCGGCCTCTACCTGTTCCGGTTCTACTTCCTGTCCTTTGTGGCGGTGGCTGTCTCCCTCTTCTGGCTCTTTCGGCAGAAGGTCTACTACCACCTCCGCTCTACCTGCACCTGGCAACGGACCAGGCCACAGAGGAGACGACCACCCGCTGCACCGAGCAGTAAAGCTCACCGGGGTCCCAAGTCCCCGGCCAGGGTGGGACCTGGCCTCCTGGTACATTGTGCTGCAGGCCTCATCATGGCCTTCATCGTGAACCAAGAGAGTGCCTTAAACCCCAATGCACCACCCTGGTGGCCTGAGGGTTCTGGGTCAGCCACGCGACCCAGTGAAGCCATCCAATCTCGGGACTTCGATACCCTTTCTATGGCAAAGCCAAGTGGCACAGGACCTAAATCAATACACCTGGCATCGGAAAAAACCTCAACACAAAAAGAAGGCCTATATTCGTGCACTCAAACGAGCTCAACTTCATGGACACACCTGGTATAAAGGTCAGCTTTTCACGGCAGCCATGCTTGGTACTGAACAACTTCACGCACCCCTGGCCGACCCAGGTCAACACACCAGGCAGAAGCTCAATGTGGCCCCTCCGGCAAAAGTCAGGAAAAACCGCCTCACAGGTTTCAGCTGGAACATCTGCTCCTTGAGCTCCTTCAAGTTTGACATTCTGAGGCAGTGGATGTGCTCCCAACACCTAGATGTTCTATTTCTCCAGGACACTCGGTGGGGGTTCAGCGGTGATTGGCAGGACTCTCACTTCGCCTATATCCACAGCGGCTCCAAAGGGAAAACCGGCGGTTTGATGGTGATCATCCGGAAAAACTTCTGCCCCATTGACCGCATCTCCTGGCGAGAGACTCTTCCAGGACGGCTTCTCCACGTTCGACTTTATCTTCCCTCCTCGGGGATTGACCTTCTCAACATATATCAACACGCATGGATTCAGCATGATCCTCTATGTCTTCAACATCGAGGGGAACTCCTTCATGCCTGTGATCAACTGGTTGCTGGACTTCCCCAACGGAATGTGATCATCTTGGGGGGGAGATCTCAACACCAGCCTTCCCCACATTCCACATTGTGTGGGACTCCAGGACTTTCAAGACCAGAAGGGAAGGAAGGCTGGACCACGTCATCCTGACTCCGGGAAGCTGGGTCATCTCCTCACACAGCATGGGCTCACTGCCATCAACACTTGGGACCCTTCTCTAGGGCCCACCTACATTGGTGGTCTGGCTCGGCAATCCCGGATCGACTACATCATGGTACGACACAAGTCCAGCGACTCATTTACCAAGAAGCCCATTTACCTGGAGGACCTGCCTGCTCGCTTTGGACACACCAAGGATCATGTGCCCATTCTCTTCACCGTTCCCTACAAATGGAGGGCCTGGAGCCACAAGCCGGTTGGTCTTCCTCGTGGACAACAAGAACTCCTCCTTCGGCACTGGGACTCGAACAGTGCAGAGTGGCAAGGGCTCTGCACCTCCTTGGAAGAGACCATCACTGGACTCAGAGACGATACACCAGACTTGGAGGCTCTCAATCAGGTCCTCCTTGCTGGCTGCCAGAACTTCAAACCACCTGTGTTGGAGCCAGAACGACCATCACCAACCTTCTGGACCTGGGCCAATGGACATCCAGGACTTGCTCTTCCGGAAGTGGCTAAGAGGACTATCTACTCAAGTCGTCTTCAACAGCTCTTTGGCAAATGGGTCAAAGTGGTTCGAATTCAATCCTGGAAAAGATCCACGAACCAAAAAGCCAGGGAAGCCAAGAAAGACAAGCTGGCCCAGACCATTGCACAGGCCAGGCGACACTGGAGCAACAATGACTCCCACAAATACTTCAAGGTGGTGAACTCTCTCACACCAAAAACACGGCCACCTCGACCTCATCTCCGACGGCATGCTGGTCAGCTTATGTCACCGGAAGAGGAACTGAGCTGGATCCAAGAGTACATGGCAAACCTCTATGCAGGAGTTGATCTCCCAGCTCAACACTTTCATCTGGCTGTTCTCCCCTTTGAGGCACCGGACCTGATCCAAGGACTTCATGCGCTCTATGGACGCACCAGTGTTCCGCCTCATGTGGCTCCTAGCTTCGTTTGGAAGGCGCTGGCAACCTC